AAAGAACAATATTTATCACTAAGATCTTTGAACTATTACACATTGACCATGGGGACCTACCATGCTACAATACATGATTGATATAAATACTACATCATTCTTGTGGATGATTATAGCTTGTCCACACTGACTCACCTGCTAAGCTGCAAAAGCAATGCCCTTCACAAAATTAAGGCTTTTTCTGCCATGATAGAAAACTAATTCAACAATACTATTAAGTTTATAAGAACTAATAATGACTTTGAGTTCACCTATTCTGAAGCCACTTTATTCATTCAATCAGAGGATATTGTACATCAGAAAATATGTTTATATACACCACAACAAAATGGTGCAGTGAAAAGAAAATACAAATATTTGTTGGAAACATCTAGGGCACTCCTATGTCAATCTAAACTTACCCTGCAGTATTGGGGAGAATGCATCTTGACCTCAACCTATCTGATAAACAAACTAACTTCATCCTCACTCAAAAACAAATGCCCATTTGAGTTACTGTACCAAATAAACCAAATTATTCCTATCTTAGAAGTTTTGGGTGCCTATATTTTTCTACCATTCTCAAAATCCATAAAGATAAGTTTGAATCAAAGTCTATTCCTCGTGTTTTTGTAGGGTATCCTTTTGGGACAAAAGGTTACAAGGTCCTAGATCTAGCCACAAAGAAAATACATGTTTCAAGAGATGTAATATTTTATGAGAATGTGTTTTCTTTTGCAGGATCAGTGGTGTTTGTCACTGTGTATGTTGATGATTTTCTCATCACATGAACTCACCGTCAAGAGATTGAATGTTTGAAAGCATTTTTGCATGACACCATCAAAATAAAGAACCTAGGGAGGCTTCATTATTTCCTAGGTTTGGAGATTCAATACAGAGATAATGGGGTGTTGATATCACAGAGAAAGTTCAATGTGTACCTTTTAAAATAATTTAGTTGTGTAGACTGTCCTCCCATAACCTCTCCTCCGGATCCCTTTGTGAAATTGAAAGCGGATGAATGACCCTTATTGATAGATCTTTCTTACTACAAGAAGTTAATTGGGAAACTAAATTTTCTCACAAATACTAGGCTTGACATTATCTACAGTGTACAACATCTTAGTCAATACATGCAAGGTCCTAGAGAGCCACATCTAAAGGCTACATATCATGTTCTGAGGTACTTGAAAGGTGATCCAAATTTAGGGATAATTTTACCAATAGTGCAGATTATAAAGTCAAAATTTTCTATGACTCAGATTGGGCAACTTAACCCCTGTCTAGAAAATCAGTTAGTGAATACATTGTATTGCTTGGAGACAACCCCATTAATTGAAAATCAAAGAAACAGCCCATTGTCTCATTCTCCTCTGCCCAAGCTGAATATATATCAGCTAGGATGGTGGTTGGATAACTTTTGGTTAGCCAAACATCTTGCAGAATTAATTGTTTTATTGTACTTGCCCATTTCTATTTTCTGTGATAGCTAAGTTGCCCTACATATAGCAAAGAATCTTGTATTTCATGAGCGTATGAAGCATATCAAAGTGGATTGCCATTTGGTGCGAGATCAACTGCAAGAAGGGTTGATTTTTTTGCATCATATTTCCACAATGACCAACTGGCTGGCATCTTTATTAAGTCTCTAATAAGAGTCAAACATTCCACACTCCTTAGCAAATTGGCGGTGAGCTCCTTACCTCCAACTTGAGGGAGGGGGTATTGAGATTATAGACTGTATATAGCATTGTATTAATTAATTCTTTTGTTGATTCTTTATAGAGTTGTTAGTGAGTTGTTAGTTGTTAAATGACAGTTTTCAGTTGGTTAAATTTGTTAGTGAGTTAATGCATTCAATTGTATAAATAAGGACAAATATTATTTTTTAATTGAGTTGATTTCATTTCCTTTCAGCTCCCCTTTTGGAAGCTTCAACACACGCTCTTCTCTCTTCTCTGTATCCTCGACTCCTCCATTAGAGCTCCTATCGAGCTCATGTCCTCCATTAATTCTTCAACATTTAACAAATTCATCGTGTGAAATTTGTTATTAATATATACTCAAAAATATATTCAAAGAACCAGAAGCAAAGTAAAATAAAAAATGTAGAAGAGACAGAAAATTAATCCAAGCCCACTGAATTCACAGTGTTTCCTTAAGGAACTTAATCCCCTCCTAGTACCCGAGGTTTAGGATTATTTCCTCCCAGAATAGAACGGATTACCCTCACTGGTGTAGCGGTACTTCAAACCCCAGTGACCAGCGAACTCAAAGATCGTTAGCAAATCACAGTTACTGCTTTGTTTCTATTAAAAACAATATAGAAGGAAGAAGGAGAAATCAAAATTTTCGTAAGGAAAATTTGTGGGAAAGTTCATGTATTTGTAGCCAAAAAGTTGGACAATACCGAAGAGTGCAACTCTTCATTTAAAGGCTGCAACTCAAAATGGTTATTTTATAAAACTGCCATTACGCAAATCGCCAAATTTAAATTCTAACGGAAAAATCAAACACGGATGAAAACTAATTTTACCGTTATAATAACAGCTAATTTGGATTAAAATAATATTACATTAATCTTAATATTAACAAATAAATTTGATCCAAACCAATGCCGAGCGACAATGATAACATCTTGAGGCTTGCCTTCTTCCCTAACTCTTTAAGAGCTAAAGAAGTACAATTGTATATATACTCATCAAAACTCTTTTACTCCTCCATTATGGGACAACATCCTTTTGTCACAGAGGAAAATTAAAAAAAAAAAATATTTTTCCCTCTATTTCCCATTCGCTCTATTATAAATTATAACAATCTTAAACCCAACAAAATCCTTTTCAAAGGAAAACAGGACCTAGATAATATTTACCGGACCCATATAAATTCTGATTTCTCAATCTTTTAATTTGTACACTTAGTGGTTAAGAATATTTTCTATCTGTAATTTATGCGCTTACGTAATGGTTAATAGTTAAATTCTGATTTGTCAATCTTTTTGTCCCTTTTCATTTCTCATGTTATTCCAATTTTCACTAATTGCTTAGTGCAGTAATAAATCTTACATAAAAGCAATCGTTCAGAATAATTTTTATCAAGGCAAATCAAACTGTAAACGTCATAATATACTTCAACGTGCTATGAAGAGGTGCTGATTTATACAGATAGGCCGGATGAAAAGTATTTTGGTAATAAAACTTAGCAAACCATATATATGAAATATTTAGAAGTTCTAAATATGAATTGGGTAGTGGAAAAGAAAATACTTCGTAGGTAATTAGTTGATAATCAATTGAAAATATAGTTTATTTCAAGCACATATTTACGTGTATAAATATCCAACTCGGCAACCCCACACCTGGGAGCAATAAAAAATTATTGAACACTGAGCTAAACTGAAGGATTTGATGCAGATCAGTATCGCATGTAGATGGCATATTCCTATAGATGTTCTCTTTCATTCAGGGCTTTTTGTCCTTGTTATATAGAATAAGGAAGATAAAACAAAATGAAAGATGTCATCTGATTGAAATTTGTGTTAATTAAGTAATTAATAAGGCTCAAGTTAAACAAACAAATATAGTACTATACTACTATCGTTTGTAATTTCCCACAACAAAGACAGGGGCATCGAAAAGTATTTTTCTGCTCAAGCTTAATAGAATTTAGCCAGAATGAATAAAGATCGGTTAAGTAAAAAAAAAAAGTAGTACACGTTTGCCCTTTGAATTATCTTAACCTCAAAGCATCCAACCAAATAGAAAATGGCATTTGATCAGGAGAATCTGTGCAGTTGTTTAAATGTTACTCTTCAGTCTTCATACACATCAAAAGAAATAACGGTTAAGGTAACAAAAAATTACCCAATCTCATATATTGGGCATGGGTAGACCGGTTGGGGTAAAACAATATTGGGCAATTGATGCGGCCAAATAGTTTTCGCCTTTTTCATGCATTTTTAAACATTATGCAATTTTTAATATTTAATTTAATACTTACATATTAGGATATTATTAACACCAATTAAAATCTAAAAGTGAATCACGTGTACGTAGAAGTGAATGCACTCACATTCCCTGCCTTGTACAGTTCTACTGCATATATGTGTCATGTGTGGGTATATATTGTGCATATGGATATATACTGATATTAAATCTTGAATCTGCCTCGTTTAATATAAACCTAAATTTGATATTGTTAAAAAATTTATACTTCTAAACTTATCTAATTTATGTTTAGTCGATCGCTAGCTATAGCCTGCAGTGTGGGTACTGATATAATTGTGCTTATTTAATCGTCTTTATCAAAAGATCAAATAGAAGCGAAAGCTATATATATCAACACTAAATTGGCTTGAAATTCAAATACGGCACATAACGCTTTTCTTCAATGGATGGACACCACTCTATCAAACAAACAGAGAAACTTGCCGCAAATTCATTGTTTTAAATAAAAATAAACCCCTCTGGCGTAACTTTATTTTTACAGTCAAATCTTTCTATAACAACTTCATTTGTTCCGAATATTTTTGAATGTTATAGCGAAGTGTTGTTATAAAGAACATATAAAATAACATAATATAAAAATTGGTTCCGAAAAAATTTAGCTTTTATAAAAAAGTGTTGTTATATAAGAATGCTATTATAGAAACGTCTAATTGTATTTAGAAAACTTCTCGTTCTCTTCGTGCGAATTTAAACTAAAATATCCCATGTTATAATGGGCAACAGGTGGAAACAAAAGAACCCCATGCTATTTATCAGGTTATATTTAGGAGAAAAATACGAGGACGGTGAGAAAAAAAGTACAAGGACACGTGCCTTATCATGTGCTTCCCGGCTAATATAGGTGCATTACTTTTTTGGATTTCTTGAAAATTAGTGGCCCATAAAACCTATATACATAAATATTTAATTAGTTTGTAATCATAATGTAAGCATGTCTTCTAGTGAGAAAGAATTCCACCTATCAAGATTCTAATTAAACTTACCTATAAAGCTACGGTTCTAACTTGATATTTCTCACCACTTTCATTGCTCTCTTTTTTTGTTCTACAATATAATTAACGTAGTAGATCATACAGAGTGCTCTAATATTATTCTTCACATATCCATGGCTTCTTTTGCTTCTTCGGCAACCAAAATCTATTGTACCAATATCCTTTCTCATGACAGGTTTGATCATGGCAAAGATGAACCTTATTTTGGGAAGGTGAAAATCAATGAAAAAACCAAGAAAAATCTAGACTTGAAATTGGTTACAAACGTAGCCAGCCAATTGCCTGTGATTGTTCTACCACCAGATGAAGTGGTCAAGAAGGAGAAGAAGCTCGCTGCATGGACTAGTGTTCGCCAAGAAAGATGGGAAGGAGAGCTCGTCGTAGAAGGCGACTTACCACTCTGGCTGGTACGTTGTTCAGTGTATATAAGCTAAGCTAAATCCTAAATGCATAGATTACTAACGTTTATTGTTTAGTTGCATGCATTTTTCATTTTGTACGGGATAGCTTTTTTATATATTGAGTCGCTTGTTATAAGTTTTTCCAAAAGTTTTGAATAGACATGCATGTTTCTCTCAAGAAAATATGAATCAAGTAGGATTAATTTACAACTGATTGGAAACGAAGAAATCTAAATGAGAGTAAAGGTTTCAGTACTTATTCAGACATTATGAACACTCTGTCAAGAAGCTAAGAATAATTAAATTCTTAGTGATCTTGTGATGATGATATCATGGTCCTCCTCTACAATTATTTTATTGGTAATTCCACGTCCAGCAAAGAATATTCTCTTCTTTCAAAATGATAAAGAATGTTATAGTATCACAGCGACAAGAATATTTAAGATCTGAGAAGATAAAATTATCAACTTCTTTTCTTTATTTTTTTTCCTTTGGAAAAATATTCTTTTGCTTAATTTGTCTTAATTCGTAGGTTAATTACCAGATAAAGCTTGTTCAACATGTCACGCTCCACGTCCAAATCCCAGCGCATAACATTCTACAATTATTTACTCATATATTTCTGTCAAAACGAATAAATAAATAAGAGAGACAAATAAAAATAAAATTAATTACATGTTCTTGTCTATGTAGAATGGTACGTACCTGAGAAATGGCCCAGGACAATGGCACATAGGGAACTACAATTTCCGGCATCTTTTCGACGGCTACGCCACCTTAGTCCGTCTTCATTTCGAAAACGGACGGCTAATAATGGGTCACAGGCAAATCGAATCAGACGCATACAAGGCAGCAAAACACAACAACAAAATTTGTTACAGGGAATTTTCCGAAGTACCTAAGCCAGACAATTTCTTGTCCTACATTGGTGACATGGCCAAATTACTCTCCGGCGCGTCTCTAACCGATAACGCCAACACCGGAGTCGTTAAGCTTGGCGACGGCCGAGTCGTTTGCCTAACGGAGACAATAAAAGGATCAATCGAAATTGATCCGGACACACTTGACACAATAGGGAAATTCGAGTTTAGTGATTCGTTAGGCGGGTTGATACATTCGGCTCATCCAATTGTAACGGACACTGAATTTTGGACGTTGATACCAGATTTGATAAATCCAGGATATTTAGTAGTGAGAATGGAAGAAGGAACAAATGAGAGGAAGTATATAGGTAGAGTGAGTTGTAGAGGTGGACCTGCTCCAGGATGGGTCCATTCGTTCCCAGTGACGGAACATTACATTATTGTGCCGGAAATGCCACTAAGGTATTGTGCCCAAAATTTATTAAAGGCTGAGCCCACACCACTTTACAAGTTTGAGTGGCACCCTCATTCCAAAGGTTTCATGCATGTTATGTGTAAAGCCAGTGGCAATATTGTAAGTCCTCTCACTTTATTAGATTGAATTTTTTGATTTGTTTTTTAATTTATTTTTGGAATTTATAAAGGTGGCAAGTGTGGAAGTGCCATTATTTGTGACATTCCATTTCATAAATGCATACGAGGAGAAAGATGAAGATGGCAGAGTTACTGCTGTTATTGCAGACTGCTGTGAACATAGCGCCGACACCACCATCCTTGACAAGCTCCGGCTTGAGAATCTTCGGTCATTCAACGGCGAGGACGTCTTGCCCGATGCAAGGTACTATTGCACATACTTGACCGACGGCTTTCAATTTTTTTCTTGATGGCATTTTTACTTTCACTTGGGGTCTTTTGGTAGCTGGTCATAAGACAAGTTATTCATCTATTAGGAGTAACATAACTAATATACCATATTGGTAGCATTTAGGTACTTTGTCCAAAAGTCAGCATAACTAATAGAGTATTATGTTTGGTTGCTTTTTCTATACATGGGTAAGTTATACAACAAATCTATTATTATTTACGCAAAGATAGAATATGGAATAACTAATACATGTATTAGTAATACACGGATTAAACATTCAAATGACCAAAAAATTCTCATATTTATTTTAATTACACATCGTATAATTAAAATAAAGTAAACATTAAACAAAAAATAATCACTACATTACAATCCATAAATTATTAATTAATTCATGCATTACTAATCCTTACATATCTAACCCCTTCATAATTAAATCATGCATAATTAATCTTTAAATAACTAAACCCTGCATAATTAATTCCTACATAACTAAACCCTACATTACTAATACATGCATAAATCTAACCAGCAATCAAACGACGCCTTAACACTTGTCTATAAAGTTTATACAATAATAGTTTAAATGAGTATTTACGATATTAGGTCACTTAAAAGATAAATATTCATAGTGCCAGTGTATATAACTTAAATCCAAGATAACGATATGTAACGGTGCATGAAAATTAACAACTTAGAAAATAAGATAACTAACGCTAAAATATACTTATTGATGAACTGCATTAATAATGCAAAATCTTCGCAGTATACATTAGCGTACGTAAGGAAATCGTCTTCTATATAGACAAGCTGAGCATGGCGTCTACTTGAGTCAAGCAAGTAATCTAGTAACCACCTGTTCTAACTTCTAATCTAGTAAAGTAGTTTAATAATTGCATTCATGCATGGATAGCAACCATTTTGAATTTAAATATTGTAGTAAGTCAAACATCCTAAAATCCAAGAAAGGTCTGAAGGAAAGGGAATTTAATTGTTGTTTTATCATGTACAATCCAAGTTCCGGTGATGTCAAGAGGACTATCTTGACTCTTTCCTCTTTAACTCTTTTGAACGTAAAAATGGACTGCATTGTCCTGTTCTATGGAGCACAAGTTTTGAAACTTTGAAGATACCTTATTCTTTTAATTGCCGTTTTGCACGTCAGTTGTATGTAAATTTTTATATTTTTATATTTATAAGCAATTTATAAACAATCTTATTGGCGCGTGTTAACAATTGAAAACTCACTAAATGTGGTGAGATAGCTAGAATGTCTCCGCGCTTAACAAGAATTAAGACTCTGAGTCATGAAAATGAGTTTTGTTTGTGGTAAATAGTGTTTTATCGCCATAGCGGGTCTATTCGACATGAATACAGGTTATTACAAAAAGAAAATGAAAGCTCGTTATATTTCCAATTGCACACTTTATAAAAGCATGTGTTGGCTTTTCCCAACTGTATAATAAATGAGAGTAATTGAGAAGTCGAAAACTTTTGCAGATAGACTATTTTATGTGGACATCAGTTTGGAACACCCAAAAACTGTAAAAATGTACACTAAATCATGTATACAATTTGAGAAAAGGGCTGTTATTGATTAATGGTGTTTGGTGACAGGGTTGGGAGATTCAGAATACCATTGGATGGGAGTCCACATGGAGAGTTAGAAGCAGCATTGGACCCAAATGAACATGGGAGAGGCATGGATATGTGCAGCTTTAATCCTTGTTATTTAGGCAAGAAATATAGATATGCTTATGCTTGTGGTGCTAAGAGGCCTTGTAATTTCCCCAACACTCTTACAAAGGTCACTTCCTTCTCTTCTTTTTTCCACTAGTAGTGCTTACAACTGTTAATTTTTTTATCTATTATTTCAAACGATACCTGATTTTAATGGTTCAAAATATTTTGCAGATTGACTTGTTTGAGAAAAAGGCAAAGAATTGGTACGATGAGGGAGCTGTGCCTTCTGAACCATTCTTTGTGGCTCGACCTGGTGCAACCGAGGAAGACGACGGTAATTAATTTATCAATACATCTATTTATAACAAACCCAAACCCATTGTGGTTCAGCATTTTCTTGGATCCCATGTATAGCGATAGCTCTGTGAAAGTGAATAATAGTCTAAGCCTAATAACACGAGACAAAAAAAACAATTGAATTGCAACATATTAACAAGGTGTAATATTCTGGAAATATGCAGGAGTTGTGATCTCAATGATCAGTGACAAAAATGGAGAAGGATATGCTCTAATATTGGATGGATCCACATTTGAAGAAATTGCACGAGCAAAGTTTCCTTATGGTCTTCCCTATGGACTGCATGGTTGCTGGGTTGCAAAGAAATAGAACCACCCTCCACATCCTAGACTGATAGCCAAATATACCTTACAAGTCATATAATTAAGATATTACATTTTCCAGCTCTTGAATAGCTAATGTAGTACTTTGTGCATATTAATGATATACATGAGTACTATGATTGCATATATATTATCTGCAATGATCATTTATCAGTAATACACATATGAACCTTTGATTAAGACATCAAGATTCAACAAGGAAAGGAAAAGCTTTTACTGTGTCTTTTGAAATTGAGGAGTTGCAATCACTTGTGTCATTTTATCAATTCAAACAAACATCATAATCCACTATGCCAGCATCGGTTCAAGTCGTTTTCCAAAATAAAAGTAATAAAACCTGACATCTTAATGCACTAAACCAGAAGCTTCAAAATTTACATTTCAAATGCACATAGGGAGATTCATCTCTAGAAACAAGTTCCTAAAAGGGAGATTCAGTAACACATGAATCAAATGTTAATAAAATACTTCTGCAGCAGAAATTGGAAAATTGGATATGAGATTCATCATACTGATACAGAGAGAGAGCTACAGGATATTATTGGCAATGACTTCAGACTTCAGATGATCTCTTTCAAGGGACAGTTGTAACATGTCGAAGCACATCCATTTTACTGATAAAAGGAATAAAGGGGGAACAAAGACGGTAACATATTTTTGGGTTAACACGTATAAAAAAATGGAATCTACGGATTCATTCTATCATTTAAAAGATCAAACCCTATGAGAAATTCGGGCCAAACCATGATATGAGTTCCTAAGTTGAGAAAATGGGCATATTCTTTGCGGAAGTAAGATTGATAGGGTGACAAAGGCTTAGATTTGCTCATGACTCCAGGATTCTACAGTTCCGAATATATGTTGCTATCACTCATCAACAGCCTCAACAACCAGTTGTTAGGCGCAGCCACTGTTAAGTGGCAAATAAGCTAATACTTCTGATCTGTATACACAGCATCAACATCATCAAGTTCAAGTAATTTGGACATGAGTTCTTTGTTCAAGTCCATAGCTTCATCATCTACCTGCAGCCGAAAACCAAAGAATAACTACAACAAGCGGAGATATCTACTGTAGTAATTGAAAAGATAAAACTCAGCTTTTCAGCGCATATACTGATTGCTTTCTTTTCTGATACCCATCAAAGGATTTTTCTTAGCACTCTATCATACACCTTCTGTACTCTGTAGGCTAAAGAATATTGTGTATGTCTCCCTCTTCCTCTCCCTATAAATTTTCAACGATCTTCTTCGCAAAAATACAACCTCTATTGTAGATCTACCGAGCACAAATCCACAGTGGTTCACCGCCATTCTTGTAATTTTTCTATGTCTATGCTCTTTCATTCGTTCCCAAGGTTTCATTGTATGACTCATAAGCTTACTGCCACAATAGTTTGTAAAACTTTAAATATCTCCTCATTGTTTGTATTGGGATCATGTATTCTTTCTCCACTCTCTAATACAATGTTGAATAGTTTGGTAAGTGGTACTACTCCAACCTCTCCAACAGTTTTTTTATAAAAGTGAAAAGCACAAAAAATAAAAGAGGCACGTGGGGCATGAAGCAAAAAGGGATAAGTGAAAAGTGCACGCTTCTTTGAAGTGAAGCACCACGTCTACCGAAAATAAAAACTTGCCAAACATATTTGGAATTTGTACCTATGATAATCATATTGCAACAAAAACTACTAATTGTTGCATTTGATGTACCATAATGACGATGTTAGTCCAACTCAAAGTAACCATGACAAAAGATATATCTTCAACAAGGCCATAAAAAGACAACTTCAGTCACAAAATTAATTTTTTTATTTTCAATTAACCAACCTTAAAAAGAATTAATTTGCAGCATACCATTTCATATTTGACTACTTCGTTAATTGTACAAAGTGAGCAGTAGAGAGAAGCAAAAGAGATGCCTAGAATAAAAAGTAGAAGAGGAAGAACTCACATATTAGAAGAAAAAAAAAGAATCATTAGTTTGAAAGAACAAAAAAATAGGCAAATAAGAAGGAAAAAAAATTTAAAAAGCATAAGTAGTGGAAAATAGACGTTACAAACTCGAGAAAGAGAAGAGAAAGACAAGAACAAAGAGGGCATTAAAGCCGTTGTGAAGATCGGTCCTAGTACTCAAAACTGCAAAATATCATTAATCCCTTCGCCACCCTCTCATGAAATTCTCTGTTTTGCAATAAAAAATAGCCTTTTGAAGATTTGAGTTATCAGAAAAAGAAAGCTATGCTATGCAGATGTCTTATAGCCACATGCTGCATAAATCTCATGGACCATTTCTATGATTATACTTACAAAAGGTCAACTATTCACACATCAGCTATTAAAATCCTTTTGTAAAATTTCATGGTTAAAATAGTATTTCCCTCTCAAAAGATTAACAAGCGCTACCAGATTAGAAGAATAAAATTCTGATATGCTGTGCTTACGGACCTCAATTGGAGTTATAGGAAGTAGCTCAGATCCGTTGTCAGGTTCAAATTTTATTCCTTCCTCTTGTAGCTTTGATAATATCACTGGATAGTTATCCGCTGAAGACACGACTTTGTAAACCCTACTAAAGTCAAAAAGAAAACAAATAGTCAAATACAGTGATATTAGTCCATCCAGTGTGACATTAGTTCATCCTCA